GACCAGTCAAGGGGCGCGGACCGCCGGGGTATGTAACACTGCCATGTGCTTTAAAATAAAAAAAGGGAATATTGGTCCTGTTTATATTGCTTTTCTCATCTGTGCGCATGTGTGCACATGTGGATCGGTCACTTGTTTGGGTGTTTGAACTTTGAACACTGCTGGAATGTTTCTCCTGTTTGGATCAGATCTTCCCTATGTGCGCATAGTGCCGCATATGCATTGGTTCACTTGTTTGGATTTTCGAACACGTGAGGAACGTCGCTATTATGTCCTTCGGGACATCCGTGAAAATTGGTACGATGCAGAGGTGGTTAGCATGGCTCCTGTGGAAGGATGACATGAACAAGTCGAGAAATGGTCCAACAAAAAAAAAATTGAAATGTCCCTCTTCTCCGAAGATGGAGTGTGGTTGTCTTGCGGAGTGTTCTACAGTTGTTAACTGACTGCGAATGGATTGTGTTTCCCCTCTGTGTCCTTCCATGTGGGTGACTTGTTGCGGGGTGTTTTGAAACTGCACAAGTATTCGCCTTCTTTGGAGTTCAAAGTGTGGTTGCGTTGCACAATGTTCCGTACCTCTTAGCTGCAAACGGATTGCATTTTTGCTTTCTGCGCTTGTGCAGTTGTGACTATCTTGGGTGTTTTTTTAACACTGCACCTTTGTCTTCTCCGAAGTTGACGCATGGTTGCATTCCAGGCTGTTTAATACCTCTCGAGTCTTAACAGTCTTAAGACTCTTAACTCCCATGGGATTGTGATTTTCTTCTGTGCCCCTGTGCAATGCGGATGCCTTATTACGTCGTTGCATATTTGTCTTTTTGCTTTTTTGTTGTAGTTTTGAGGAACAGGAGCCTCCAGGGAATAGGTCATTTTTCTCTGAGATAATTGCTTCGATTTCTGATATCAAGTTTTCGAAAGCGGGTCGGCATATTCTCAGTAGGGACTACATGACTCTAAAGGTGAGTAGCCTGCCCTTCTGCTTTTTTGGACCAGCTCTGTTCATGTCTCCATTCTACTGTGGGGCTTCAGATCGGTTCTGTGTCGCCAAGGGAGTCAGAAAACTACGATGATTGGAAAACAGCCAGTAGCATTGGTTGCTGGGGTACCAATGGGTCTAATCTAAGGGTTTACTGGACTTGTTATTGCTGTCTCTGCTCCCGCTTGGCATGAGATTTTGTTTTGTTTGCGAGGTCTGCTCCACTTGGGACTAGATTACGCTCTGTTTGATGCTTTGATCCCATGTTCGGATGCCTTTCACCCTGCCTTCTCCTGTTTACTAATCGTCATGCTCTTATTTGGTGTTATGGCTATTCGCCCACTTGACATAGTCATTGTTGGTGGAGACAAGTCTTTTTATGGAGAAGCCCGTTGTGGAGGAAAGAATGTCTCTGTTCTTATGAAGGACTGTGGCATTTCCACCTTACAGATTGTCCGTTACTTTTGTACCTTATGGGAGTTTTGCTCCCGTGCCGCTTTGTTCTCTGCGTCATAACTTCATTTGGGATCTGTGTGTGGAGAAGCTCGTCTTTCATGCCATGCTGAGCTAGTGATCTACTGTGTTGAATGTGTCTTGAACAAGTTTTTTATTTATTTATTTTGAGGCTAGTCTGATCGAGATTGGAGTGAATCTTTGTGCGATTATTTGAGTTTCTTTCTGTTTTTGGGTTTTGTTTTTGAACTTTTGTCAGGGTGGGTTTATGGTATTCCCTCTTTTGTAATCTACTAGATGATCATGTGTAGATATCTGAATTCGTGTCACTCATATGATCTGCCTCGATTTTCATGATCTCTCTAGCAACAACTATGTACTCCAGCAAGTGAATGTGAAGAAAAAAATGTAGTTGCCAACCTCTAATTCAGAGTTCTGTGAGGCATTGCCTCCTTTCAGTCGTGACAGGTTCGCACTCTCTTTTCAAGGGACTAAAAGTTCCAAAAACTAGGATTTGACAGGTTCTCACTCTCTTTCCAAGGGACAGGCCACACAAACTACGAACTAAGGAAACGTGCACACACACCGAAAGAAAGCCAAAGTAAACATAGTTGACAATTTGACAAAGCAATTTGAACCGATTTATTGCACTCCATGTTACTTGCTATAGACTCTAGTATAGAAGTAAAACTGTTACATTGTGTGAATGTCTCAACTCAAGTGTGCTTCGTTGTCGGCCGTTGGACTCTCATCTGGGTTGATTAGGGGTTCGTGTGGTGAAAATCCACAACACACACACACACACACACACACACACACACACACACACACACACAGTCTGGGGTTC